GCCTGAAAGAAAGCTGTATTCTGTGTGATACAGACTTTCCTAAGGGCAAATACGCTTTTTTCCCCTTGTTATGTCTGTAGCTGTTAGATAAATGTTGTCTGACCACGCTTAGTTCATTCTGCTCCATTTTTCCACTTACAATTTGCATAGTAGATTCTGTTCTCTTAACATTTGTTTCAAAAATACCGTATTGAAGTGTAGAAACGTAAATGTTCTCATCCTGACTTACAGCCTAAGCAGCTGAGCACACTAAATAAAAAGCTTCTTTCACAGCAGCTATTTTGTGGGTATTATGCAAGATGTTCTGTGCTTTGATATAACAGCTCCTAAAGAAAGTGTATTGCAACATGAATTTATAGCAAAACTTTATGCACTTAAGTCTGGTAAAACATGTTGGGGGTGGGGAAGAGATCAAGCTGTTGTAGGCTCCTATAAAGTACAGAAAACTTCTCCTTTCCCTCCTTTCTAACAAGTGTAAACTATTGAGGCTAAGTAGGTGGGGCAACCGGAAGTAATTACTAAGGCCAGTGGCATTTTTGCGGTGTAATAAAGGCAGAAGCTAATTATTCAGTTTTTATTTAAGTGAAATGATGCCAAAAAGGAGGTTCCTGCAGAGCAGCTGCACTCCTTCAGTGTTACCCTAATTTACCACAGACACAACTGTCACAAACAGAACTTTTAAACTTGATATATAGCCACGAAAGTAAGGAGCCCTTTGTCTGGAGTGCATGCAGAAGAACTCCTTTATACAAATCAACCGGCAGATGACGGACAATGATGAAAATTTGATTCTTTGAAGTCATAATGTTCATTGAAATGTGTGAAATTCTGGTATTGAAAAGAGAGCGGCTAGCAAGACTCTAAATCCTGGGTGGTTGCTGGAAGCTTGCTGGGAGGTTTTTCTGTGTTTTGACATCAACTTCCCATTGCTTGTTGCCTGTTTCCTTTATTAAAAAAAAGGGGGGGAGTGTGCTAAACAGTAGAGAGTTGATAGTGGTTATGTACAGTTTTTGTCTATGTGTGGAATGAAATGTCATAGGAGAAACACGACACCTTTATGCACACCTAACACATCTACTCAAAACCACTTGTTTTCAGAGATGGAATTTGTGCTATTAGTGGAGTTTTTAGAAGGAAATTTGTTTCCTTTAAAAGTCATCTTCATGCCAAATACTACTTTCATTGACACTGCTTCTGTGAACCAGTTTTTCTCCCTGCTGTATAGCACATTTATCATTTATTATTACTCTTTCCAGAACAGCTTTACCAGGCTTTCCACTATAGCAAGTGTTCTTAAATAGTTTAGGTTGTAATAAAGATTTGTATTTCCCCCCTCTTCATTTGTAAGCACTTTGATGTGATTGCTGCTGTTTAAAAGAAGTGTTTTGTCCCTCCCAGCTTATTCCAAGAAGAGCCCAAATGCCTCAAAATGAGTATTTTAATTTTTTTGAATTACAAAAAAATTCACAAGTTCCTATTAAAAAAAAAAAAAACCCTCTCTATATATTAAGAAAACCAGAATGTCAGAATGCATCTTTTAGATGATAGCCTGTGTTAAAAATGTGAAGCAGGGTTGTTAATTTTTAGTAAAGCAAGTCTATACAGTTCAAATCTCAAGTCTTTTATATTGTCACCTTATTATTTAGAATTTTGAGTGCTGAACACCTCACTAATATTTTAATATGCTAATATAGCAAAATTCAGTAAGGAACACTTAAAAAAAAAAAGGGGATAGTAATGTGAAACCAGCTGTCAAAAACATCTTTGTTTTGGAAAGTTGGTTCACAGGTAGTTTCAATGAGAACTTGAACTCAGAACAAAGCACTGAAGACACAGTAAAGAGTTCAACCCAGTGCAGCATAGTTCTTTTCAAGTATTATATTGTTTTAATGGCATCTTGGAGCGGGAGCTTTAGCCCATTGAAATGTCGCTTAAAGGACAGGTTCTTCTGTCACTAGCTGGAGCTGTGTGGATGAAACGATCACAATAGAGTGTTGTAATGCATTTTAAAAGTGTGAGAAATCAGTTTGTCTAGACTAAGAGTGCGCCTACAGGGAATAGGAATTTTAGAGCTTCTGTGCTCTTTAGGTGTCAAGTATGTGATAGATGCCAAGCCTTTTTATTCCATATCTTTGGCAACAGCTCAGCTATGCTACAGTACCTTACATGTCTACAGCAAGCAAAAACAGTGATTTTATGTCAGGACAACTTGGGCTTCAGAAACCAGAAACTCATTGTCCTAACAACTGTCTGTTCAATTGCCAGTTTTAAAATGGGGAAGATATCAATAAACAATTGCTAGATTCCCAGAAGGCATGGAAACTTTAGCTATAATGAATCAAAGTATGAAGAGCTAGCAAAACCATGTAGATATTTTAGTTTCAGAAAGGTTTTAAAGGCAGGTTTTAGTTTTCACCTTGAAAAGATTTTTATGGGTGAATCCTATATTATTAGTGAAATAACTTTGATTTGGAGCCAACTGAGTGCCCGAAAAAACATAGCTTGAAGGGACTTATGTTTTGTCTGGGATTTTGGGTTTATTTTCATCCAGATGAACAAGTCTAGGCATTTTGTTACTACAGTTGCCTCATAAATACAGCATTTTCTGGGTTTTAATACTCTTTTTAGATTGCATTCTGTATGCACTAATATGTAGTATTTTTATGGTTCTCTCGTGTGGAGGCTTCAAAAGAGGAAATTGCATATGTCCATAATGTTATTTAACGTAGTATCTTATTTTAATATTTCCAGATAATTCTGGAACAATTCAAAAGCTTCTAAATCTGAAGCATAAAATTCATAACGGGTATATGAGCTGCTGAGAATAATAATAGTAAAAAAATTAATAATTTTAAACGATTTTGAAGCTTGAATATTTGAAGGTATTTGATGATAACAAACCTGGAATTTTTGCATGTAGCAGATTATTTCAGAGGGGAAAAAGAAGTTTTTTGTGAATATTCTTACATTTTCTCAGTAGACATGCTTGTTAAATACAGAAATAAAGGCTAATATATAGCCTATTCTGATAAACAGGCAAGCTGAAACATTGAAGCCCCACCAAACTTTACTGCAGGTAAAATAACCTTTTTGTTAAACAAAGCACTTTGCCAATTCAAATAAAAAACTTGAAGCTATTTCCTTCTAAAACTGTGGTTTAAGCTTTAGCAGTCAGAAATGCCAGTCTGTCAGGAGGTGTTTTACATTCGTGTTGCAACATTCCAGTGACTGGTAGTGTTTCTTTTTCATATCACTGCTAGACTCATATTAAAAATAAACATTACTTGGTCCTAATGAAAGCATTTATAATGGAATTGTTAAGATACTTTGACAGTTTCTTTTGGTAGTCTGGGTAGAAATGTCAGAAGTTGGAAAATCAGTGTACATGGCTTGTTTGTTTCCCCTGCTGTTCTAATTGCAAATACAAGTCAAATGCTTTAAACTTGTTCCCTTGTATAGTTTTGAGGGACTGATGTCCCAAATTTATTTTCTGAAGTAAAACAAAAAATGAGACTTGCCTCATTTCAAAGGATGATCTGGTGACAGCACCAGTTTGCCACAAAACAAAACCCCATAAAGTTAGTAGCTAGAGACATGTAAAGCCACAGTGTTTTATTTAAACTTGTTTGCCTTTTAATTCAAGTCATGGCAGTACTGATGAGATGAGTTCAATATGCCCAAGGTTTTGCTGCACTTTTTTGGACTTTTATCATTTTTCTATTTGTTCCTGGAGAGAGCAGAGGAGGGGAGGGCAGGGAGGGAGACCAAGGAGCTCCCACTGGCCTTTTAAGTATGTAAGGAACAGGAGTAGTTTAGCATCCTTAGAGATGGATTTGATGTTGGATTTCACTCTTTACTAGGGTGAACTGACAGGTTAATTTTATGTAATTACTGTTTAGTTTTTAGCAAGAAAGTTCACTTTGATTATATCAGATGCTGCTGAGGGTAATTTTTCACAGCAATTCTTGTGAGGTTTTTCCCTATTTTATTCTTTGTTAAAGTCAGTTAATATTTTTAGGCTGGTTTTGTGATCTTTCAGTTCTTATCTTTTTGTTAGGTTTATTTGTTGAGGGCTCACAAGCCAAGCCTTAGTAGAGTAGGGCATCCTACTACTGACTACATACAATGTTACAAGCCTTTTTTTTTTTCTTTGAAGGTTGGAATCTCCTGAATTTGTCCTTCACAAAAATACCGAAGAATGTTACCAGTAGCAAATGTTCATCTCTTGATCTTGAACATTAACAGAAGAATTGACTCTCAAAAGCTGATATTCATAGCTTGAAACACAGTGAGGGGGTCAATTTTATGTAATAACTAATGGTGACAGAAATAAGACAGCTGAATTTTGGTACCTGCTCTGCAGTCTCAAACTATCAATAGATGGCTGTGCGAAAGATAACCTCCTGCCTCTTCCTTCACGCTAAGCATAGCTTCTTGAGTCAGTGTGGATGTCATTGCCTCTTAATTATATACAGACTTAAGCCCAAGTGAAAACACTTACACTGCCACACATAGTTGGCTGGCTAGGATTTTGGTGAATAGTGCTTTTCATATGAAATTTGGGCTCCTAATGGTAATTGTGGGATTTGTTGATGCTTAAGTCTGTGCCTCTAGTATTTTCTTTAAGGGAGAAAGATTTTATACATTTCCGCATTTGCTTTAGCTGGTGCAAGACGGAGCAGTCCTGACTTTGCAGCTGTGGTCAGAGGATGGGATGGAGTGTCCTGTCCCTCCTCTGGCACCAGCAGTTGTGTAGCTGGGAGGTGAGCAGTTTCAGGTAACTGATCCATGAAAAATCTAATTCAGCATGAGGAAGCAGGATGATAGCAGCCCCAACATGTATCAGCTTAACTTTTGTACAGCTGGACTCATAAGATACTTTTTCTTTTTTGGGATTGTAAAATACAAAAATAAAGCATGAAATTATGTAAAAAGCATAAGCCATATTATTTTACAAGCCTTTTATGTGTTTTTAACAAGTTCCATTGTGTTTTTCATAGGATATCACTGCTTTAACTGGTGTTCCAGATGAGCACATCAAAACCAGAAAAGTTCACATTTTTGTTCCAGCACGTAACGCAATGCAGGCCGGAGTTAACAATACAAAGAAATGGAAGATGGAATTTGATAACAGGGAGCGCTGGGAGAACCCTTTAATGGGCTGGGCATCTACGTGAGTAGTTACTGAATTTGTAAATACTTTTCTTTCTATATTTGGCTCTTACTAGTCATGTAAATTTTAAGTTTGAAATGTCCTTTCTACCTGTAAATCTACTTGTGTTTTAACAGTACTTACAGTAAGTGGTCGGGTTTGTTACTCATATGATTAATGATCTGTTATGTTTAAAAGCAGATTCTAGCTCACAACATCATCTGGAAAAGTTTGTATTAACAACCAGAAATTTCAACGATTGCATTTGTGGAGATGTCACTGTATGGCAGCATCAGGGAAAGAAGGTTGTTAGTTACCTGAAGCAGTAAATCTTTTTCAGCTCTCAGTGGCATCTTTCAAATTTGGTTCTTCATAAAGTAACAGTACTTAACTTCTGGATTTTTTTTTTCCCAAAGTTTTATAAATATCCTGAAGATCTGACATGAGGAGCCATAACTAATTTAAAGAAAAAACCAAACCTATTTAAAATACTTTGTTTCAATCCTGCTAATATTAGTAGTAAAAACTTGTAAATACACCAAAATCCAGAAAAGTACTAATATTAGCTAAATATGCTATAATACGGAGATGTATGTATAACTTGGATGCAGCTAACTTTTAATTCTTTTTTCCCTATATAAATATATTATCTATATTTTACAGTGTGGCTAGAATTCCTGTAAACTGTGAGGACTATGCCAGCAATTCTCCTGACAATATTGTAATTTTGATTTGAAGCTGTCTTGTTTGAGGCATATTCAGAAAAGTTCATTATTCTACATAAATAAAAATCAACTGCTAGAGATTATTTTTCAAACTTCAGAAAGGATACAATGTGTATTGAAAATGTCTGGCTGCAATCATATTAGCACTTACAATCAAAGAACACAAAATTATATCAAAAAAACTTAAAACCTTAAATATGAAATAATTTGAGGACACATTTTTGAGATGTGTTAATGTTTTAAATTCAGTCATAGGATGATTTTTTTCTTATTTTATTTCTTTTTAAAATAAATGTAACCAGAAATATTACTTCAAAATAACACTGAAATCAAGTCTTCTGTTATTATGGTTTCCCATAAAAAAATTGAGGAGGCTCACAACCTGTAACATCTTGGTATTGCAAAGCATTAGGGGAGCCAAGCGCAACTATTGTTAGACAAAAAAAAATATTGAATATGACTTAAAATATTAACTGTATTAAAATAGTCTGTTACAATACCTGTTTTAAAACTTTAAGCCTGTATATAACAATGACCTCATCTTAAGCACGTCCTGGGTCTTTTCACCGTTTCCTCTTAAGCATATTTAAATTGCTGTTTCAGAGGATAAGATTTCAGTGACTTAATACATGTATGCCTTGGATGACTCAACTGCTGCGGGTAGCTACCACATTTAGCAAGTAATGACCAGGTTGTTTCATGGGGCTTAAATTAATTGATAGACCGTTGACCAGCAATACACCTTTCCCTCCCGTTTTGCATGCCCCCCAAGTGTCTAGGCTCTAAAGTATGGTCTATTTATACCACTGCACAGATTATAATGCTGTAGCAGGTGCCAGCAACACCTGCTTTATTAACTTTTCTTCCAATCCCCCTTTGCTATTCAGCTGACTTTGACCTCCCCAGACAAATTATTTTCTGTGGGGGATTTTGCATGACCTCAGCCAAAACAATGGCTTTTAACCTTTCTGAAAGTTATAACCATTTGTGCTAAATAAACCACCTAGAAAAATGAGCCATGGTGTTAAGGGTTTACCTGTATGTTCAGTTGTCCTGGAGTGAGTTTATTGTGGGAATTTAAAAAGGAATGGCTGTTTTGAATGAATCTATCTCTGCATGAGTTTTTATCTTGGGGTAGGGAAATGAATATTTCTCCTGTAAGCAAGCTCCAGGTAGGCCAAAAGCAAGTGCTGTGTTGGGAATTGACACTGCTAGGTTAAGGGTTTTGTAAACTAGTTCATATCTGTTGGTTTATTTTTTTTTTTTTAAGGAATTTTCACCAAAACTATTAGTAGACATTCAACACCCAGAAATACCTAAGAAGAGTTTCTTCTCTTCAGATTTAATTTCTGCAAAGAAACATTTTCAGAAGTTTTCTCATTTACTTTTGAATAATGTAATGGGATTAGTGGATTAGAACCACTTAGAGATTAAGGATTAGAGCCCTTTTCCTCAACATGCTTATTTACCTGTAGGTCTTTGCTATATTTCTGTCATTTTTACAGCCTCATTTGCTTTTTTTTTTTGTTGTTGCATTTGTTGTTTCTTTGGATATAGGGTTTTTTTCAGTGAAAATTACCTAGTGCAGATCTAAATAAAATGGATCCATGGTATTTTGTTTTGGTTTGTTTTAATCGGGAAGTTTCATTACACAAACACCTATGGATAGTTCTCACTCACATCTCCTAACATAAAGCTGTAAACAAAGAAACATGGGAAATGCGTGGTTTCCATTGTGCAAGATCTCAGAACAAAATATGGAATCCCAGTTTGTAGTGACTGGTAAGGCAGTTGAGGGCAGGCGTAGGAAATCCTGCTGCGCTGCTCTTGCCGACACTGTCAGGACATCATGCTGGCCATCCTGAACTCCAGTTTGCTCACAGATTATCACAAATTTAAAACATATGGGCAGCTCATCAAGCTATGGAAAGAAAATTAAAAAGCTGTATTTAGATTGGATGAAAGGTGATCCCACATGAAAACAGAGCGAATTGTTTCTGCACAATCCTCATTTTAAACTGCCTCTGCCCTGGAAGGTTTCGCCAAACTTGCAGTACTTAACAGGCACCGGTCCCTCACTAGCACTTCAAACTTAAACTTCTTTTTTCCCACTTAGTAGTGTTGAGAAGATTTTTCCAACCCCAGTCATGGAAGAGAAGAACGATAAGCAAAAGTTGTCACAGTAATTCTCCTTACTGCCTTTAGAAGAGAAATCCTTAAATGTCTTTAAGAGAGCCCATCTTAGTGGTTTGTGAAGAGTGATTTCTGCCTTTATCCTGTTGTTTGGTTTTTTTTTTTTTTTATTGGGGAATATATTCGATATATAGTGAACTCCATTTTTCCATGTCTACATCAGATAAAATTACATTGTTGTCTTTGCTGGAAGCTAGATTCCCCCTCTTCCCCTCCCCCTCTGCCAGTCACAGGCTTTGTCCTTTATTGTGGAGAGTTCAATGTATCTTTGGTTGCTTTCTCTCTTCATTTCCCCTTCTAGCTTCAAAGAGAGAACAGTGGAGAGGCAGCTCCTTCAATAGGTTGTTGCAATTTGGTCTTGTCTTTCTGGTTGTCTCCCAGGCTCATGTGCAGTGTTGTCTCAGGGAAGTAGTAGTAATCATTGTGCTGCTACAACTGCTATCTTATTTCTCTAAAAGTTTTGTAGATTAATTTTTAGAACGCTTTTTAGAACGCTTTGTCATTTTTCTTAAATTGAGCTTTTATAGCAACAAATAAGGCAGTTTGGTTTTTTAACCAATATTTTAATTTGTTTCAAAACGCTTTTTGCTTTTCCCTTTGATGATTCCTTTCAGAATCAGGAATAGCTGATCATCTAAAACTAACCACTGTGTATTTAGTTAGCTAGCAGTTTGCATCTTTGAGCTTCGTTTTCAGTGGTGGCCTGCAATCTGCTTGCTGTACTGCAATAATTTGTGGAGGTCATGTGACCTCAGCCAAAGCTGAACTGAGTTTTTCTTACGTACTTTTCAGTCTCTGATTAATTCCTGCTTTGCTCACTTTGATATTCTGCTCTTTTCTGTATGAGATTATTCTTCCGCTAGCTGCTCTACAGACTCCTGGTCTCCTTCAAATGTTCAAAATTACCTTAAGCCTCCTGATCTTCCAAAAAGAGAGGGACTGCACAGCTTTAAAAATTGAAAAGATCATTCCAGAACACTTATTATAATCTCAGCAGGTGGTTAGACATGTTTGTCTAATAAAAAACTTAAAACATTAATTTCTTCAAGGAGTTGGGAGAGAATTTTAACAGACTGAAAGAGTGAAACAATACTCTGCAGAAAGTAAGTGTTAATCCTGGAAATTATTGAAAATAAAGGGATTTTGAGTGGCTCGTGAGGTGGTGTACTACAAAAAGTTGTATAATATAGCATTTGATTAGCATTTGAGGTACAGATATAATTAGTTTATACTTCAGTTGTGCTTAAAATTTGTCATTGGTTTCTTACAGAGCTGATCCTTTATCCAACATGGTTCTTACTTTCTCTACTAAAGAAGATGCCATTGCCTTTGCTGAAAAAAATGGTATGTATTCTATGTATTGGGTATGAGGGGTTCAGCTTTCTCTAGGAAATCTTGATTTCAAAGTATTAACAGAAAAGTGCAGGATAAAGAACCTTCCCTCTATTCCACAAAATTGGTAGACCATTAGTGCGCTACTTGAGTAGGACGAAGAGGGGGGAAATATTTCAGAGTGCTGAAGGAATTGAATCTAGGCCTTCCACTTTCTGGGAAAGTGTTCCAGCTTCTTAGCGTTACTGTTGTAATGCTTTTGCAAGTATCCGTTTTGAATGAGAACTGAGTCTTGCTCAGGTCTTGGAGGAAAATTAATACTTAAAGAGTATCCCAGGATGAGGGTACCAGCTACATGGCAGTGGCATTTTTGCCTGAAGGCTTGACATGAGCATCTGAATTCTAGTTAAGGAAAGGCTGTCAGAACCTTTGTGAATGTTTGATAACCAGAAATACTAAAATTAAGTGACTACCAGGTAAGCATGTTGGGACTTCAGTTCTGGCCATGTTGCAGGATGGATTTATCATAGAATATCTCAGGTTGGAAGGGGCCCATAAGGATCATCAAGTCCAAATCCCTGCTCCTCGCAGGGCTACCTAAAACTAAACCGTATGGCTAAGAGCATCATCCAGATGCTCCTTGAACTCGGACGGGCTTGGTGCTGTGACCACTTCCTAGGGGAGCCTGCCCCAGTGACCGACCACCCTCTTGGATGAGGGTGAACAACCTTTTCCTAATGTCCAAACTGAACTTCCCCTGACGCAGCTTCATTCCATTCCCTCATGTCCTGTCGCTGGTCACCCGAGGGGAGATCAGCACCACCCCCACCCCCCACCCCACTGCACTCCATGAGGAAGGTGTAAATTGAAGAAGTTAAGCCTAATTCTTCCCAAGTACAATACTAAACACTTACACAGTGTGATTACCATATTTGAGAAAAAGATAGTAGAAAAGCCACTATCATTACTTAATATTTTTAATGCTAATGATGTATCAGAAGGACTGTATCTGTAAACTTATTTGGTTATTTAGGCTTGTATTTTCTCCCAGAATTATGGTACCACATAAGCAGTATCCATAATCTCAGCCTTTTGAGTATTCAGATGTCCTTTTATGTGTTGGTATGAATTTTTTGCTTTTTTTTTTTTTAAATCAATTTATTTTCCTTAAAAGAGCTAGGCTTGATGCATAGTGCTTATGGGTGTGAGGAAGATTAATTGCACTGAGTTAAAGCCAGAAATAATGCACATGCAGAGTAAGCCTCTCCAGAAGTCTTCCCTATGGTGTACAGCTTTCAACTATATTTAGGCTGGGGTAAATAGATTTTAAAGTTTCTTGGTCAGACCAAGTTGTGCAAAGTTGTTAGATGGCTTATGTTGTACACCCAAAAAACAGGACAAGTCCATTAACTTATACAATTAAGAAGCCAAACCATTAAATGTGCAATTTATTTGCAATTTTAATGGTAAAGGTTAGTATTTAATTCCTCTATTCATCTTTGAATGGATTTTTTTTAATTTAATAGTCTTAATTTTATTGAAAAATAAATTTAATTCACTAAGAAATTAGTAGGATCATCATATTTGCATTGGATATACCAATTACTTTGCAATTTTAATAGTATTTTCTAACGTTTTATGAACAAATACGAAATTTGGGAGACTCTGCTATTGCTTTACTTATGCTTCGTACTGTTCATGCTATTTCTATTTCTTGGGAAATTCAGCCTATAAGAGAAAAAAATGGAATCCTGGCCTATATATTGCTATATTAATGAGCTACTTATGTCACCTCTTTGGACATGTTATATTTTGTCCTTTTGAAATGCAGATTCATGTAAAATACTTGATTTGTTCAGTGGAGGAAGTTTACTTCACTGAATTAGCAATGAATCTCCATTCTGTGGGAAAAATACAAAGAAATTCTACCAGCTAAACTGAGGCTGTGACTTAGTATTAATATTATTAGTTCAATATTCACTTATCTTACACCCTTAATTTTACCATAATTGAGATGTACCAAACTTTCTGCGGACACTGGCTTGCCTAATTATTATTCCATTTTTATTTAAAGGTGGCTTAGTATTCTGCATATGATATGAGCATAATATTTTCTGTAGTAATAGCTTCAGTATCAAGTGCAGCTGGAAATACAAATTTTACAATATTTAGTTCTGCTTTTAGAAAGAAATGAGAAACTTAGGCACAAGTTTACAATGGAAGTTAGCTTCCAAATGGAGGTGTTACTGAAATGTGTCTTAACTCTAGGACCACAAATACTTACCTCTCTGCCTTTCCCGAATGAACCACACAAGTTTTCCATTACAAAATTCCTTAAGAACCTCAAATTTAATTTCTGGAAATCCTAGATATTGCAGGTATTTTGGTACAATTGGGAAACCTAAGAGTTCTTTCTCACCCAAGAACTTCAAGAACCTGAGGCAAGCTACCTTTCTGCATGCCGCATCTGATGTATTTTCTAATGCAGGAATAACAGCACTGAATAGAGTAACAGGAGAGATCTCTGTCCAAAATACGACAGCTGAGGATGGTCTGAAGTTGGGCAAGGAGGAGACACTTGTAACTGAATGAAATTAAAAGCTTAGCCTGTTTTGTCCTGTCCGACATCACCGAGGCAGTTGTTTAAAAACATACAACTTTAGTCACAAGGGTGGAGAGTTTTTCTACTCCACAGTAACCTTTAGTCAGGTGATGAGGATGTTCTTCCAGAGATGATGAAATCTGCTTTCTATCCACTTGGCTTGTATGGCAGGGTTCTGGGCACGAATAACCTTCCCCACCATTGTGGTATTTTTATAAAAGCCATGGAGAACTGGAAGTGCCTAACTCAATGAGACTGTTCAAGAGTGTGAAGCCGTATCCCATACAGTGGCCTCTTGGAATACAAAGTTAGATGTAACCAAGTTTGTGGGCTTTGGATAGCTATGTCAGCCCAAGTCGTTGCGCTGGCAGTTGCAAATCTCTTTTGGAGGAAGTCAGCTCCTCTCTATCTAATGTATATGAAGATGGAGCAATAACTTGGGGCTGTAGATTCCATTCTGGCAGCCAAGTGCCTCAAAGTTAGGTGTTATTATGCTGGATGTTGCAATACCAAAGTCTGTCTCTGGATCTAGTTCTGGCTGTTTACTCAAGCTTATATTTTTAATCAGAACAGGAGGCAAAAGCCAGTGCTCTCACAGATGGAAAGAATATGTTTTTAAAACCCCTATTCTGGTATTTCTTACAGAGAATAGTTCACTTGGAGATTAACATTGGTTCAGCCTAATAAACCTGAAGAAAATGCTTCTGTGACATTTGTGAATACACCAAAATGAGGCACAGTGATGTGAAAACTTGTTTATCTTATGTAACATGTTTTGATGTGCAGATGTATCTTGGGTGTTTTCTGTGAACATCTTAAATGTAACAATTCAGATATATGTTAGACCTCTTAGGATTTACCAATTTTTTTGTTTTAAAACTAAGGAAGAAAAGTATCATCTTACTAGTATCTGTTAAAACTGCATGCTTAACCACTTCTAGCTTCAACTCAAGTATCTCAACTTTGAGTGAAATGTTGCAGCTAAAGAGACCAAACTTTGGAATACTGAGTGCTGCCCTGGCAACTTTCCAGGCACCTGGAGGCTGCAACCAATTTGCATTTTGATTTACATAAACACTAATGTCTCCACCTCCTCTTTTCTGACATTTTTTAGCATTTCTCTTAACTATCACATAATTTACTTGTCTTCTATCACTTTATTCCCTTTTCTTTTGCTCCTAATTTTTTATGTTCTTAGAAAAATGTTAAGTATTAAACTCTTTTCTAATGCTGAAGTTTTTTCTTTGCTCTTCCTTTCTTTTGTCCTCCCACCCTTCTTTTTTCTCTAGCTTTCCAAGGTCTCCATTCTCTCCCAACCTTTGGGGTTGATCTTCTTTATGCTGTTTTTTTCCATGTTTCCTTATCTTTATTTTCATTTCCTGTCCCATCATATACAGAGCCTTAGTGCTTCTGTGATGGTATGGAGTTGTAGAGCCATGAACTTGCAGAATAGCAAGGGTTCCCTGATGAGCTTTTCATTGATGACTGTCAAGTTTTTTGCAGGAGTAAAGAAAATGGAGGCATATAATATGGTAAAGTCTTATCAGCTGAGAGAGTGGGCATATCTGTGGTATTTCAGTATTCTCTGCTGCCAGCTACAAAGGAGTAAACTAGTGGGTGCCTACGTGGAGAAAAAGACTTTAAAGTTTAAAGGTTTAAGTTGCACTTGCTGTGTATTGTATGCTGACAATATTCTCTTTGTTTCTTGTCTCCCACACCATTTCCCCTGTAACCTCCAGGCTGGAGCTATGACGTTGAAGAGAAGAAGATTCCAAAACCTAAATCCAAGTCTTATGGTGCAAACTTTTCTTGGAACAAAAGAACAAGGGTGTCTACAAAATAGGTTGGCATTGGCTGTCTGACTGTGAATAAAGTCAGCTGTGCTATATTTATAGTCCATGTATAATACATCTCTTAATCTCCTAATAAATTTGACCTTTAAACTACAGTTGCATCTTGTCATGTCTATTTAAAATGTTTTTGATGTCTCCAATTGAACCTGTTACAAACTTCCCTATAAATAGAGGAGATTTGGAGTGTTCATACTTCTAAAAAAATGCTGTACTAGGAATCTATCAAAAGGAATGTTTGAAATCAGCTGCAACTTTAAAGATTATGGTTTATCTTTGATGGTAGTTTTATATTCACAATCCTGCTTAACCTTATCAGCCTTGCATACACAAATTCTCTCAATAGAAGCTGTGGTTTTTTCTTTCTATAAAAGAGAAGTTTGTCAGTTGTGGATGAGCAAAGTATGATATATAAAACTTAACATTTGAGTATAACTCCAATTATTCTGTATAAATGTATATTATATAACCTGCTTTCTGCCCAAATGAATATTGCCATTATTCCAGAAGTATTCATGACTGCAATAGAAAGTGCTGCTTTTTGTGTTGGATTTAGGGAAGGTTTAGTCCAAAAGATTGAGACTGCAATTGTTTCTCTGTGATGTTCTTCAAAATTGAAACTAAGCCAGTTAAATATTCATAAATTAAGTCAGAAGAGTGTCGGATGCTTCACACAGCATCAGCATACACTAATTATATAATTATAGTTCTGTTTTTTTTTTATTGCTAGTTAAATGTTTTATCTTCATTGAGGTTTCCTGCTGCCTAACAAGAGATGTGGTGATAGCATCTCAGCCTTGACATCGAATATATAGCCTAAACTCAGTTTGCCCTACATGATGTTAAATCATTAATTTTAATAATGAACAATATTATGTTTTGAATCCTTGTTTACATAGCTATGGCTTTTGATTTATTCACTTTAACTTAACAAATTGAGATATCAACACATGATTGGTGAAACCTATTACACATTGGGGGAGGGTACACCTTTTTCATATGCAACTGGGAGTTTTATCCCAACTGTCACAAGAGAAACAATTGAGACAGCTTTCTCCACACAGAGCCGAAGAATGGTGTAAGTGCCCCACACTGAATTCTAGCAGTTTATCTTCCTGTTGAATTTTGAATGCGGCGTTGCGCAGTGATCCTAAAGTCCTCCAGGAACACCAAAGTGCACCAAGCCAGAACCTTAACAGTCCAGAATCTACTGCACCTGTATGTACTCTGGCTGAGCTCAATTCGCGGATCTTACTAAGGAGACAGTAATAAGAAAAGCTGTCTGTTGTTCTTTTTTGTTTTCTTGTTTTACAAGTGAAGAGCAACAAGATCTTAATTTAATGGTCTTCAAGCTTTGTAAGATTGTCAACATGAAAATTGAAAAGCACTTGGATACTTAATGCAGCAGATGCACAGCTTGGTGGTTGAAATTACATAGTCCAGCGAATTGACTGTTAAATGTTAGACACCTAACATTGTCTTTGGACACCTAATATATGAAATTGCTGGATGTTAATGTGTACTTCTTGTAACTAGAATCATTCACATAAAGCACAGGGGTTTCTTTGTTGCTTCTGCTAAGATAGTGGAAATATTCAAAGGAGAATTCATTAAGTCCCCTTCCTGAGGAAGAAAGCTTTTTCTTTTTTTTTTTAAATGCATATGTTCATTATCATTCTGTAGTGTGCACCCCTCCCTGAAGTCTTTACAGCATGTTTGAGCCCAGACCTTCTTTTCCTCCAAGTGCTTTCCTAGAACTGATTTTTTTTTTCTCCTGTTGGATGTCTTCATAAGAATGAGCATGCTGACAGCAGGAGAGTTGATTGTTGTTGCTATAGTCTTCAAACCCTAGAAGTGAAATTGAGTGCAAGAGCTTGCAGAGGACCAGTGCCAACAGGAATGCATTTTAGAGGTCAAAAAAACCTACTAGATACTAAACTTCATTACCCTTTCATTAATTTACCAGAATGCTACAGCACTAGGCTGGAACTGAAATCGTGCAAGATGATCGGAACATCTTTAGTTAAGTACCTTCAGAAATGAATGTTTCATTGGTGAACTCCAGCTTATATCTACTGTGCAGTGTGTAATGACAGGTAAAATTGCTCCCAAATCTAGAATTTGTCAAAACAAAAGGCACAACAGGTAAACTACCATAATTAGGTTTTTTAGTATCCTCAACCATTGACCGGAAAATGGAAATGTAAAGAAATTTTGAGGACTCAAGGCTAAGACAAATGCTGAATGAGATTAGAGATTCATCTTGGTGGTGGATATAGCTGTGCTGCATCCAACTAGTCCAAGCTTTTCGTGGCAGTAATATTTCAAACCTCTGGAAGTATGAAAATCCATGGGGAAAGAAAAAGTTGAAAGCTCACAAACAAATAGAACATGTTCTGTACCCAGTGGGATTTGCATGCATCTGAGGTATCTTACATCTTACATAGCAATAACAACCAAAAGAGTATTAAAGAACGACAAAACAGTTCCATGCCAGCATTGCAGAGGTGCCTTACGCAGATGTTGTGTTTACACTCTTCCATTGAGCTGTGCAGACTTGAAAGGTTTGCTTTACAGCTTTGGAGCTTCCCTTATTGTGGAAGGTCTTAAATGGGCTGATCTGAAGTTTGCACTTGTGTAGATATATTGTGTGAAGTTCTGGAGGCAGGATTCTGCTACTGGACGCAGTCCTTTCCCAGTACTAGCAAATCAGCCCATGGTATTACCGTTTTTCTGAAAAAGGCTTATTTTCTGTCACTGCTGTCTCAGCCAGCTATGCGTCACAATGAGACCTGGGTTATTCTTGTCAAGCCTGGGTGAAAGGTCCTTTTAAGAAAGAAGCAACACCATCATCTTTTTCATCCCATTTGTGACTGCTTTTACTCCCATGAGCTCTGCAAGGAATGTGGCATATACCTCTTTTTTGGTTGGGTTTTTTTTTTTATGCCTCTTGGCAACATGAAAATTTTCACATATGAGTTTTGAAAATACTCCCGTACTGTGTTCTGTTTAAAACCAGCAATGTTTTGGTCAAATTTTAACTTTACTAATAACGTGTCGTCCCCCTCCCTTTTTTTTTCATTTTACCCCCAAATTGCATTTCCCTCCTCCTGCTGCTTTTTTCTCCCAAGTTCCTTGCAATGTATTCTGCTCTGTTAAACGTATGCCTGTTTACATCAATTCAGTGATAAGCCACAGAAAACCAAAACCCAAACCAACCCTGTTTAGCTGTCTTCTGAATGCTCAGAATGGTCCTAATCTTTACATTTTATGGCATTTCTTTTACCTAAGCCAAACAAATGCTGGAAGTGAATGCTCCCTGTTCTGTTGCTGACTACAGACAACAGTATCTACTTTGCAATATAGGACTCCCTAAAAATGTGGGTGCATACCTGCAAATGCTTTGATACATTTTGCATAGTTCTGTTGCAATAAAATTACATTTGCAGGATACCAAGTTATTCTGAAGATTGGCAGCATTCATAATCCAAATGAAAAAATTTTTTGTTATAACAAAGGCTGTGCAACTCAAAATCGTGATGTAATGGAACCTAAAGACTGTCAGGAAACTAAGAGCAAATTTCTAGCAGTGTATTAAATGTGCAGTTTGATGGATAATTTAAAACAAATCAAGACTATTAAGTGATACTCCGAAATGGAAAATTTAATTACCCTTATCTGTAAAGTTTTGTCATGCGGTAGAAAAGGAGAAGCTAATTTGGACTAATTTTATCTTTTGCCTGTAATTTCACACCAGGAGCTTGTGTAGTTTGGTTTTGCCAGAGATACAGTTATCTGACCTTATGTTTGGTTAACTGGGCATGCCAAAATATTTTGTTACTCCAAAAAGAAAAAAAGTGCAAATAAGGAAACCTGAAATATCCCCCCAAAATTAATTTCAGACAGTTATAAGGCAGCTTGCTTTGATAAGTCCTTGTTCTTACTCCTACATTATGAGAGGGGTTTATTTTTGATTGGTACTTGATTGATGCTGGAGTATGTCACCAACATCACAAGAAGCGTGCCTACAACTTAATAGACAAAAAAAAAGGCAAATTATTTTTAATGGTATTAAAATGTGGGTTTCAGTTGGATTTAAAATATTGATTCTTCACATCCATGTTCATCATGAGGGAAGGTCAAAGGTCCCTATCTCGAACCCTTCACACACAGAAAATGTGAATGAAAACCTTTTTGGGCAAATTGATTAGAAGAAATACGTTTTTGTGAGACTCCTGAAGGAATTCAGATTGTAACTGTGTAACCATTATCTGTGGCTTGAAATTGAGTTGCTTAAAACTCTCTCTACCTGAATAGCAGATGACAGGTTTGGGTTTTTTGATTATTGGGTTTTGGGGGGGGGGGGGCCCCCAAAAAAGTATATAGTGCTGTGAACAGATATGATATAAAAATGATGTGTTGATTTGGCTATTTTCGACTTAATTCACTTTCATGTTCTTCAGAGGAGTTGGTGAACATGGGAACAAGGTGATTCAGTCCCTTTGGGTTTACAGAGGGCTTTCAAAAAGGTCTCTTACCGAGTTACAGAGAGAGGCAACAGCGCACTTAAAGACATTAGTATCTTCTGTTTGAGGGGCAGGTCTGGAGGGTGGAGTTAGCTCATCAGTCTACAGGAGAGAGTGGCTTCTAAAATCACAACTGGTGGCGGGAATAGTACATGATTATTCGTTGTTTTTCGTACAGAGGCAGATGAACAAACTCATGAGGATGCAGCTTAGAAATAGACAAGTACATTTTCACAGAACAGATTTTGAAATGCATTGGCAACTTTCTGACTCCTAAAACTAACTTTACACTAGCTCAAATGCAACACAAGAAATGCATGCAATAAAAATTTGCATTAAACATAAAATAGTATCCTGTTTAGGAAGATCCCTGAGCTAAAGGTTGCTGACAGCTGGGAAAGGGTATCCTTGGAGTAGCCCTGGTTTTACATCCTTTCTTTGGCAGTCACTGTTAGCGCCTGCCAGGGCTGGGTTTGCTCAGGTGAGTGACCTGATCTGGCACAGGACGGCTGTTCTGAGTGCTGTCTGCCAGCACGGCGTTCAAACATTTCATGCTGTTGTGTTTGTCAACG